GCATTTAATCCATGCCGGTCCCGCTGAGTTTACTGCTAGCTTAACGTTAAGATAGCAGTAACTCCTTTTTTTCGAAATCGGACAAAGCAACAAAATCGGCGTTTTAGCAACTAATTAGCAACAAATTAGCCACAAAATACGGTATATGTTTCGAACGATTCTGCTAACCTTTCACTGCTATCTTAACACACCTGTGTTAAAATGTCTACTGAGCTCTAAACAAAACTATAGCTCCTATATTATTCACACCCCTTCCTTCTTACAGTTTGTCAATTCCAACACCTTAAGGTTGCCTGGAAGAGATCGCTGTTTTAGCGATAAGGCCGCCTCTTGTACATAGCTCTTTTTTTATATTTTTCTTGTACATTTTTCTTTTTTTCTTTTGTGGGTGTACAATAAAGAGTATTTATTATTATTGTTATTCATCTCTTGACCAAACTTTATCCTTCTGAGTATTTATGAGGATGATGCTTGGTAAATAGAACTTTTCCTTTTTTTAAGGTTTATATACTTACTATAAAACAATGTATGATTAACGATTGCTTGTTAAAATAACAGGTCAATTTCGACCGTCGTTTTTTGTTAAATTCCTCTTAAATATTGGATATTTTATCCACTTTCTGTATGTAAGTTGATATATAGTTGCCATTTATGATAGTAACTTAAAAAACGGTTTTCATGGGCTGGATCCATTTTGCATAACTACGTCCATTTAGTAAAAGAAGGATTTACGACTTTCACGGCCACACGTGGTATAAGTATTAAACAAGTTGTTAAACAGCAAAATTTTACATGTACAAATATTTCTGTTGATTCCACCATTAATAAAAATAAGAATAATTTCTATTGATGATGGAATAAACAAGAAAACATGTAAAGTCGTTGTTAAAAGCTAGTATTTAATATGTTGTTTAAAACTAAAATCGTCTAAGTTTCTTTTGACTACATATATCTTCTTTAGTGTCAGCAAAAAGCTACTAATTTAAGTCAATCTTATAATACTTCTATTTTTATATGTCTGATTAAGTACCAACAAGTGTTTGCCTAGATGTCGAAAATCGATGATAATTAATTGAAATAATTAATTTATTCGACGATATATCATTATCAAAATTTGGGGAAAATATATGAATTAAATCTATACAATATCTCTATGAAAAAACTCTTCCAAAATTTTTGTTGATTTTTTTTTAATATGGATACGGTATTTTTATATGAACATAATTAATTCTTTTAATACATGTTTTCCTCAAAAAATTTATAATGATTCTGATTGAATGACGATCATTAGGTGACACTAGTGAGTCTAGTCTAGTCTAGTAGATTTTATTATATACTAACGACTCACCCTCGCTCCGCTCGATTTTATCACTACTTAATGTTTAGTATTGATTTCTCAGATATGAGATATTTTCCCGCAGAAAAAAGTATGACCTGTATGTTGACCCGGATAACCAGCTATCACCATACCCAATTTCATTAAAATCTCTCCAGTGATTCTTCTGTGATGCAGTAACAAACAGACAGACAGACAGACAAAAGTTCTAAAAACAATAGTTTAGGCCTCTATACCGATAATAATGTCTATTTCAATAACATTTTCCAAAAGATATTTAATGTACAGATTCGGCTTAGTTACAATTTTATTATATGTATAGATGTGGGTGTTGAACACAAATACAACATTAATGACCTAATTGGAAAAATAGATTAAACGTAAACTACTTATTGCCATTGTTTGTGCCAAAATACGTGAATTCTCCGATTTATCGCCACAATAATTCCCGCAGTAGTACAGATTTAACTCTTCATGCATAGAATTTACTGTAGCCGGTGTTCACCCAGTGGTCGAAATTCGAACATAATTATGTGAAAAAAAAATTGTTTTCAAATATTTTTATTGATAAATCTAAAGCTCGTCAATAGGTACTAAACAAAGAAAAGAAAATCGGTTGAGAAATAGAGGAGAAAAAGGTACTGAACTGATTGTGTATTTAATCTGTTGTATTGGCGTTATCTATATTATACTAGCAAATCACTCGCTTCGCTCGGGTTCGCCTAACTACTACTAACTAGAACAATATAAACAAATCTATCCCATAGGAACAGCATATATTTTCGAGATAAAAAGTAGCCTATGTGCTATTCCAGACTATAGTCTCCTGTACCAAATTTTATCCAGATCCGTTCAGCCGTTCTGGTGTGATTGAGTAACAAACATCCAAACTTTCACGTTTATAATATTAGTAAGATATTTTTGGTATCATATTGTACATTATGTGATACATAACCATCTATTTTTAAAGAGGCTTAACAGTTTACTTAAATTTACTACGCAGTGTCAACAAATTAACAATTTTCATCGAAATTTTATGCTGTTATTATGATTTTTGGTCCAAAATATCAGATTAATTATGCATGAAAAGCGTCAAATGAAAGCTTTGGTTAATTTTATTAAACATATTTGCGATAATTTTGTATTGTACTGATTTATATTCAATTTAATAATAATATGTGGCTTAAATCACATCAAACATACCTATATCTTTTATATAATGCATGTATATCTTACATATATTTATTTAGATAATAGTAGAAATATGTATTATTTTCCTATTTTTTTTTAACTTTTGTTGTTTTTACAAATATTTCAAAAACACATCGATTCCACTATGTAATGCTATCTTATAATAAATATTAAATGGACAATTCTTATATACATACCTACTGTATAGATATATATATGTATATATATATATTACGGAAACGGCTCTAACGATTTGGATCATGGATATAAGTTTATTTACCTAGAACGCAATTTTTATAATATCTTTTCCGAAAAATGCCAAGCGAAACTTATTCGCCCAGGTACTTGATACTATGCATGGTTTAAGCTACAATAAAACTAAAAGGTCTAAAATTAACTAGTAGTTAGTAATGTGAGACTTTTTTTATTATATTATATTTTTTATATTACAGAATGTCGTCTACGACAGAATCTACAAAAAGAGAAGTAAAAGTAAGTTAAATTTTAAATATAATAGCAAAAAATCTGCGTAGCAAGACATTTTCTAACAAATAACATATATAATATAACATATATAACATGTATATAGGTAAAAGTAATATACTTAACTTCTAAATCACTAAAACTAAACATTTATTTAAGTATCTAAACTTAAAACTTAAAGTTACTTTGTATTTCTGTGTGTATGTATATGTATGTATGTATATGTTTCTTATTCCGTCACGCTGAAACGGATGGACGGATTTGGATGAAATTTAGTACACAGATTGGAATACATAGGTTACTATGAGACGAGGGTAAGTCGTTAGTAAATAATAATTGTAAATCTAGATATCTCGATATTAAGCTGAAGTGCGCTTTTAACAACCTAATTGTGTTTAAAGCTAACTTGAGCATGATAGCTTAAGATAACTCGTTAAACATACTTTATATTACCAAGTTTTATAATTTACAATTAAATGAAAAGTATTGTTCAAAACCTATCTTTGGTTAAATGAAGATATAGACCTGAATGCATCGCATATAATTACGGGCTTAGACAAGAAGATATTTTACAATCATTTACCTACTAATAAAAGTCGGAAAAAAAACGGAATATCCGCTATAATATCGAATAATTCTTAATATTTTTATTCGTAAGTGATTATACAATCTTGTGTAAGGCACCACCTGGGTTTTGTACTCCTAATAAGCCTTAATTATGATAATTAATAAGAGATTGATACTAATATTAATTAAACAATTAATAAAAATCTATAATTAACATTAATATTTATAGAAGTATGTTTATTAGTTTTATTTATTTACACAAATACGTGTTATAAAATCCCCAGTATAATAATAAAATTTAGCGAAAAGACGTAGATGTATTTCTTTGGGTTTAGTGTAAAAATTCTTTCATTATTTGGATTACAGCCAATGATAATAACGCTGTTGTTCGAAAAAGCTCTTACATACATTTATTCTTTAAGCCAATTTAAATATATGTCCATCTATAACATTAAATAAGCTTTAATCTGAAATAACAAAAATCCGGTGGTAATTAGATTGCAAGTTTCCACGTAAATTTCATATGAATTCAAAAAAGTTTTAATTAATAGTGATCGGATTATTGTGATTTTATAGAATTAAATCTGTCAAAAATTTTATACATTGAATTTTGTAAATAAAAAAATTAAGTATAGTAAATTAAATATATTTATCTAAGTGTTTTTTTCTCACATTTTACTCTTTCAGGGTTAATTAATAGCTAAACGTATTTCAGTTCAATGTGACGTACATAATATCTAATATTAAGACAATTGACAAACAGTGATTTGTTCGATAGAAGAAACTATAAGTTATGTCTACCACGTGGACAACAAGATAAGAACAAAGTACGGTCTAACTTTGGATGACGAGAAGCTGTTCATGAAAACAGAGACATGGAAATCTTCGATAATAACCGCTCGGAAGTAACCATGCGTAGTGTCGATTTGCCTAAGACATATTGTAGACGAGACGTCCGTTATTGGGGTCGCGACCAAAATACATAGCGGTAGCGAGCAGACGGCAGTAGGCGGCAGGCGGCGCACGCGCCGACCGCGCGCATAACCATCGGATTCGAATACACTGGGTCATTTACAATCTGATCTATATTTAACTGCTGAGACTAGATAATTTACATGCATCGCAAAACTCAATCTCCCAAATCTCTAGTGATGTGAAAATTGACAAACAGTGATTTATTCGAAAAGTGAATTGTGTTCATGTGTAATTAAATAGCCTTCCAATCTATGTTGTTGCCATACAGGAAGTTGTTGTAATATTTTACCGTTAACGTCAGCTTAAGTGAGTATATTATATCTATTTTTTATTATTGTCAATTTGCCAAATAATTCACGAGCTGTAGGCGTTTAAGTGTCAGTTAAATTAAAAAAATCTTCAGTTATCTTTTTTGAAAAATAACCTATTATAAACTTATTTCAGCACGATGAATCCCCCATCAGCTTTATATGGAGCTATGAATAAAGAGCGTAAGCCATTCACATATACACCAGGAGGGCTAGATCTTTCGGAGATCAAATCAGAGCGGATGGCTGCACGTTTAATGAGAAATGCTATGAACCAAGGGGTTCCCGAAACACCCGCCCAAACAATACATTCACCTCCTGCTCCGGTCAATCCAAATGCAATACCAAATTTTAATTGTTTACCCGTACAAGTGTTTCCAACATTTCAACTTCCGGCTAACCCTAAGTCATTGTTAAGAACAAGAAGCAACCCCAATCCAAAAGAAGCTCCATTACCTTTTATACCCCAATCGAACACATCAGTTAGCGACAATAAGCCTGATGCATCATCATTTCTTAACAGTAGTAATGCTAGTAACAATAATATTACAAATAATAATAGACCAGCTTCAATGTATGATTACACACTGTGTAATAGTTCACCGTTATATCAACCAACAAAATACGGAAGCTATGGTCATACAGAATTGTTATTACCGGAAAAATTCTATGATGCTGAAGTATGTCAAACAGAACTATATGGAGGAGTAAACGCCATAGAAACCAATAAAGATGTTTTTAAACATAAACCTACTTCAGACGTTTCAGACACAAATACTTTAGCGAAAATTGATTTTGATATCAACAGTATTCCAGTAACCTTAGCATCATCATTGCAAGATACAGATACGACAAATGATTATGAACAGGTCGATTTGAAATTACTGTACACTTACTATATTTATATCTATATGTCTGTTTACATTATATGTTATACGTATTTACTCTACCAAATAAAAGAATAAAAAGAATGCACTAATACTTATTGTGAGTCTTCTTAACTTTATTCAAGTTTATAATGTATACTAAACAATAATATTGTTCTGTTATATAGATAAAAGTATGTTACTAACCCAAAATTAAGTGATCTAAAATAATTTTAATTTCATAATGAATGTGAAAATTTGCCTAAAAATATTGTTGTTATTTTCAGAAGGAAGTAAAAGTCAGTACAAAGCAGTCTGAGACGGAAAACAAAACGGATCATAATGGTGATACCGAAGCTGCTGTAGTAATTAAGCTGCCCGCGAAATCATCATCGGCAAAGACGGAGACTAAAGTAGAAATCTCAAAAAAAAAATTACCTGATGGTACTATTGAGGAAGTTAAAACAACTACCACGAAAACCACTATAGAAGGGAAAACTGAAATTACAACAGAGACAGAGACTAGAACAATCCCAAAAGAAGCATTGGAAGTTGAGGAGGAAGAAGAAGAAGTAGAAGAAGAAGAGGAAGAAGGGGAAATTGTAAAAGAAAGTAACAAGGAGCATGAAAATGAAATTAGTGAAACAAATGGAAGTGATGAGGTGGCGGAGGAAGTAGTTATTAAGAATATTAAGACTGATACGAAACAAAATGGCCATATCATTACGGGGGAAGAAAAGGTAGAAACAAGTACTACGAAAAAAGTTGTTGTAGTGCAGTCCACGCAGGATGAATCAGAGGAAGAAATTGAAGAAGAAGTTGAAGAAGAGGCAGAAGAAGAAGACAATGGGGAGGTTGAAGTAGAGGAAGTAGTAATACTTAGAAAATCTGAAAACAAATTAAGCGAGGAACCTAACAAAAACAATATTAAAAATGGTGAAGATGTTGAAGAGACAAATAAATTGACTGAAGATAATGAATCTGACGAACAAGAAGAGGAGGAAGTGGCAGATGAAGATGATAAAGGGGAAATTGATAGTGTTAAGGGAGAGTCAAAACAAGGAATAGAAAATAAGGATGTTGAGGAGGATGAGAAGAAAGAAGAACAGCTGAAGGAAATTGTTGAAGATGAACCAAAAGATATCATTGATGAGGATGTTGAAGAGGAGTATGAGGAAGCTGAAGATACTGAAATAAAAGAAAAAGTATCTCAGAAGGCTTCAGAAGAGGTTGTAGAAGAGACAGTTGATCAAGATACAATTAATTCTAAAGGTAAAAATGAGCAAGAAGAAAATAATAATCAAGAAAAATCGGAGCATACTGAAGAATTAGTTGAACGCCCCGAGGTAAAAGAAGAAAATGACAAACAAGAAGTTAGAGAAGAGACTGTTCATGAAATAAAAGTGCAGTCTGAACCAAAAGGATCATTTAGAGAACCTTCAATTCCACTTGAAAAAGTAGAAGATGTTGAAATTAAGCCTATTGTACCAGCTCAAGAGATAATAAAAAAATTACATACAGAAATAATTACTACTACAACGGACAAACCAACTGGCCCAATGAGTACACAAACTGAATACAAACAAATTGAAAATATTGTAACAGTTAATCGAACAACAAAAACATTAGATCATGCTTACGAACAGTCTCAGCAGTGCAAGCCAACATTAAAAACATATTTTTCACCGAGCGATGACAGAAACCTTTCAACTCCACAACCAATATCTAGACCATATCAACCGGTGTATCCGCGTGAGCCACAAACAGAGAGACGTCATAGTTTGCTATTAGATAGACTAAGTGTTGATCGTCAGGTCAATGCTCCAGATATTTACCAAAATAATTATCAATACAGTAATCAAAACTATGAACAAAATCAATGGTCTGAACCTCAATCGGAAGTTTTGACAGTAAGTAATGTTAAGCCAAGCACAATAACCAAAAACCAGCAATGGTATCAACAAACAAGTCGAGAAAATACTACTTCTAGTGTAGCTTCATCAGCCCCCATTTTACCGAGTCAACAGTTGGGGCAGTCATACAGTCAACCTCAACCTCAAATTCAAATACAACAACCAGAACCAGAATACAACAACCAATACCAAAGCTATGTGCAACCGCAATACACACCTAAACCGGAATTCAAGCCGTATATAGAAAGCAATACACAGAACACTTACAGAAGTGCAAGTGATCTCCAACAAAATACTTACTCAAACTATACTCCAAAACCAAGTTGGGCCAGTAATACTTTTGAATCTAAACCAGTTACTTTAGCTCCTTCGATTCAAACAAATCATTATTCATCATTTAAAGAATCAACTGAAAACTTTCAGAATTCTGCTCAATTGTCCTCTTCTTACGTGCCACCTCCATGGGAACAAGATTCTAGTTATGTAACTGAGAACCAAAATTATTATCAGCCTGCACCCTCTACGACTCCGTTCACACCTAGCACAAATCAAACGTGGAAACCCAAGCCTTCCAGTAAATTCTCCAAGAATACGTCTACTTCGTATATTCCACCAGCACCTAACCAATCTTTTGTCAAGCCAGTAACAGCAAATGACCATTCAAAGCTACCTGGCCGCAAAACCTATTATAGTGAATATGAACGGCGTTATATATCTGTACCAGAATCTACCTACATACCTAGTGAAACAAAGTTCCAAGTACAGCCTGATCCATCTCCTCAATACTATTATGATAATAATGAACCAGCTGAAATAGTTGAACCACAATGGCGTAAGGAATTAAGAGAATTTACTGAAAAGACCTCCGAAATAAGTACACAATATGAAAAAACATCAGTGAGACCTCCTTGGGAAGAAGATCCAAAGTATGCTGCACCAACAGAGTACACAGCAACTGTGACACCTAGCTGGACGCAAACTTTACGACCTCGCACGTGGCGGGAAAGAAGCTATGAACCGGAGTACATTGGATCAAAGACCAACACTCTCGGTCGCGGACGACCACAAAGTTCTTACGTAAAGGGAAATGTCGAACCGATACAAGAAAGACCTAGAGGTGTATCTGTTGATAGATACAATCCAAATAATTACCAGTCTCCATTAGCGTCTGAACATCCACCGGTACAGAGCCACACGTTGAATCCGAATATTCATCCGAAAACTTATCATAACCCGAATGTGCCGGTATACCACTCTCGCGCTTCTGTTGAACCTAGGTAAGAAATAACTTTGTACTTTAGTCACAATATGAAATTGTGTGAGTGATCGAATGAGTTATTCAGGGAGTGATTGAATGAATGCGTCTGCTATTACTTCATGCTGTAACAGCTCGACGTGTTAGACTGAAATATTCACAATAGCGTAAGCTATTTTTTATCTGATCGCGGCAAAGTCTATAGGTTTATGTTTATGACTTGTATGTATGTACATATGTACGTTGGATCCTATGTTCACTTGTAACGACTAAACAAACGCCTTAACTTTTTTTGATGATTTGGACATAGAGTATGTAGATATTACCAATAATCAAAATGGCGGATTTCAGACAGCAATTTAAAAACAATTTTCTTTGGAGCCACGGATTATAAAACAACTAGTAATGAATAAAACTAGTTATGTTATTTTATTGTTATTTATCATTGAAAAGCATTCACCATTTTATTTTCAATAGTGAACTTGTAACTTTCTTGTTTCAATGTTGAAAGAAATTCTTGTGCCAAATGAAAAAAATACTTTATAATCATTTACAACTGAAGCCAAATCAAAACTTATTTTAAAGCACTGGTTTCAAATTAAATATCAATTTTGTCATAATCAATTTTGACACTATAAATCGTTTTAATCAATGACGTAATTCTGAGCAACGTTTATTAATTACCCCTTTCATTTGTAAAATATTTCTATATGTTAATAACACAGTTGCTATATGTAAAATAAATTAAAGTATTATATAATGTTGATTTATTTAGCCGTTTCAACAAATATTTTTCACAAATTTATTTTCCATACAAATTATATATACATTATCAGTTATTTACTATTTTTTTTAATAGATACTAATAATAATTTTAAAATAACGATATTTCAGAGAGCAAGTGTCATACCCACAATCACGGCCACGAGTTGAGTCCCGTGCTCCGCCCGTCCAGTCAAGATCTTTCAAATACCTCCAATGGATCACTGGTACAGAAGATTAGGTGTTAATAAGTGTATAGTAAGTGTTTAGATTATATGAAAAGTCATCGAAAAAACATCGACACTAATTACATTTTCGAAATCGATTTGTCTAAATTAAATTAAGATATAATGGTTTTATTACTGGCTGGAATATATATTTCATATTAACGAATATTTAATTTTAAATATCTATTTAATAATCATAATCAATCGCCTACATTATGTGATATTCATGAATTTGTAGAAAATCTTGTGTAACCTAGTCACATCTGTCTCTAGTCTGTTTGATTATAAAATTTGTTTTATCAGAGAAATTCAGCAGTCTCGTATTCTTATAACAATCTAATGTTTTTTAATTTTAACAAAGTTTCAATATATAACTGTAATTTGCTTTGAAATAATTTTCAAGGCATTACATTTTACTTTACATTTAATTTTACTTAACTTGTCAGTTATGTATATAACGGTGTAAGGTGACGCTTTACGTATTTTTCTCTTAAAACACGCATTAAGTTCATCTTTTACACTATCGCTTGTACTTACTTAACTTAGGCTATACTTATACTATTAATTTTAACATACCAATGAATTGTGCCATATTATATTATTTATAAATAGTTGCATGAATCATGTTGTAATAATTTATCGTTTTTTTTATTGTGGATTACTGTTGAGTTTTATGAATTAATAAATTATTGAATTATTTTTCGTGTGTTTTATTTATCTGCTAATTATGTATATAACTACCTTTTTTGCCAGAATACAGATACAGACGGATAGAAAAAGTTAAAGTTATAATTTATAGGTTTTATTATATATACGATTATAAATCGTTTAGTTGTAGGATAACATGAGGGACTAACCTTTCCCCGCAGCTCCGCCCGCTTTTTTTAACGTTAATATAGTGCCATATTGCATAGCTTACGTCCTTAAAGCTTTGGGAAATAAAAGGTCTATAAAAATGGAAAAAGATTTTTTGGTTCAAAGTGGTAGTTAAAGAAACAAACTGGAGGTATATTAGTATAATAATGTACACCTATTTATAGTTATTAGTATTAGTATACCTAAAACCTATACATACTTATTCTTCTTAGTCGAATACATAAAGATAGAATCATCGTAATCATTGTCAGGATATAAGATAAGGTAATAAAAATTCTATTTCTTAACTAAATACATACAATGAAAACGAATGATTTACACGACGGAGGTTCGAACTGAAAACTACGAGTATGAAAGTTCCAGCATTCGTCTCTTCTAAACTTTTGGGTCCTGACCATATTTTACAGTAACAAAATGTAGGGTACTCAACTGTCAGAACTTACGTTATAAGGTAGTAGTGAAGTTTATTGCAAGATATTTTTACCTAAATAATTTAAAATTTAAATTTAAGCCTAAAATTAAGGTTTCTGGTAATAGTTGTATTTTTAGTAAAACGTGATCATAGTGATATACCTAATTATATGGTTTTTATTCTTATTAATAGTTTTATATTTATAACACTACTAGAAATACCCGCGGCTTCGCCCGCGTTGAAAGTACTAAAAAAACAAAATCTTTGGCTTTATGTTATAACTAATAATAATTTAATGACACGCCGACAGTAGCGCCACCTACCGGGCCGACTTGTAAATTCACTCAAACGTAGGTACACAAAAAATATTATTAAAATCAAAATTAAAAAAAAGTTTAGGAGAAGATCAGTGACATTCCGACAGCAGCGCTACCTCCGGGTCTATTTGTATTTTCAAGCCATCCAGGAATCCATTGAAATAAACACACAAAATTTCATCCAAATCGGTCCAGCCATTTAGGAGGAGATAGGTGACGAACACACGTACAGAAGAAATATATATATAACACTATATATTGACTTGATTATGTCATAGTTAAATATATAAAAAATATATGACTTTATGCTAGAGTGTTTAACTTAGTAATAAACAAGTTGAATTTAGTTTTAGTTCAGTCAATTAATATACGTAAAAAAACACCTCGTACGAAAAATTAGTTTTCAGAACAAAGTTTCAAATTAGAAACAGTTAACTAATTACTGTGCAAAAAAATTTCAAAAAATTCTCTTAAAATTAAGCAAAGTTTAATTTTTCAAGTTAACACGAAAGCAAATAGAGATTTCACCGGCAATACGAATAAGCAAAAACAAGATTTGCCCTCGCAGTATAAAATGCTCAGCATTTTTAAATCCTTTTAGTTAAATCAAATGCAAGGCTGTGGTCACGTACGGCGGAAATAAGGATATACGCCATCTCCCCTGCCCCCTACACCGTAAAAATCTCTTTTTACAGTCGCGTTACAACGAAACCCTCTTGTGTTCCAAACTATACCACTTAGCAGATAGGTAGCCTAGGTATAGCCTAGGTGCTCATGTTTTGTTTTTATATCCATTAATTTATCTTACCACATTAGCTTGTTTACGAATTTACCAACTCATAGTTTTGATTAAATAAGTTTTTGTTGAATTCGTTAGATACTCTCAGTTTACTGTTTATATTTTTTACTAGCGACATACCCTAGGTTTGCTCGGGTTCGTCCATGTACGTTTTAATGTTTTTGAGCGGAACCCTAATTCTTTTTCTGAAATAAAAAGTTACCTTTAGTTACTCCTTTATAACTTCAGCTATTAAAGCACTGACACATTTGTGTTTTTTTTATAAGTACCGTATATAATGGAATTATACACATATTTAGGAAAATGCTGTCATTTTGACATAACAAAAAGAAGAAGAGTAATCGAACACATGACCTGCAGTATGCAATGCCAATCAGTTGTTCTAAAGTATGTTTATGTTAAATATCCAACCGATCTTATACTATATTGTTATGTGAAAACAATGAACAAACAAACACATTATTAAACCCTCCACGACCGCGGACACGCCGGCGTGGCGTGTCAGTTAACAATAGATTTCTTAGAATTTTAATTAATTTCTTAGAAATTTACCTGGAGGTGTTACATTTAATACGAGAAAAGATAGATTAAGTTATTTTCATAACGCGATAAAGAAATAATAATATGTATTTATTATTTTACCATACACATTGTAAATGGCTTGTGAATATTTTACAAACCCACTAATAATAATTATTTACAAACGTACTTTGTCATCAGTAAGCAATAAATGTAGAGTAAGCAAAACCACATGGAGGCGTGCCAGAACATTCATCATAATGGAGATTGCTATAACATCGATGCGTTATGATACTACATTATAGTATGTTGTTCTTTATTTACAAAATAATCTATACATATAATAAAATTGTAACTAAGCCGAATGTGTACATTAAATATTTTTTGGAAAATCTTATTGAAATAAACATTATTATCGATACAGAGGCCGAATCTATAGATTTTAGATTTTTTGTCTGTCTGCCTGTCTGTCTATCTGTTATCGCATCACGGAAAAACCATTAAAGGGATTTTGATAAAATTTGTTATGATGATAGCTGGTTATCCGGATATATAGGATACTTTTTATCGCGAGAAAATGTCGCATTTTTGAGAACAAATAAAAAACTGCAATGTAAGAATATACTAATATGTAAAACCTAAGAATTTAATGTTTGTTAATCTGAACGCGGGCGGAGCCACGGGCAGTGCTAGTACATTTATATATAAATAGAAAAAGACAAAACACTTCAGTACCTTTTTTTTCTCTGTTTGGCAATCGATTTTGTTTTTTTTTGGGTAGTATCTATAGACGAGCTTTTGAAACAGTTTTTTCTATATACATAGTTAGATTAATTCTATTCATATGTTTATGTTTTCCTCAAATTTTCAATAATGTTTATGTTTGAATTTTGATCCTTTGGCGAACACAGGGCTTATCTATACTAATATAATAAAGAGGTAAAGTTTGTGAATTGTGAGTTTGTGACGTTGTAGAGATTTCTGGATCTACTGAACTGATTTAGATGAAATTTGGTAAGAAGATAGTTTAAGACCTTGGGAAGGACATAGGATACTTTTTATCTCGGAAATCATTCCTTAAGGGGGTGAAAATGGGGATGAAAATTTGTATTGGGAAGCAAGCCAGGGACGACCACGAGCGAAGCGAGGGTGAGTCGCTATAGTGTTGTAACAAACCCGACTTTGTTATATACTCGAGAACTTTGTTGGATTCGTCTTCACTCCAAATAGCAGAATAACTATTAAAATATCGGAAAAATTCACGAAAATAACTTTTATTCCCTAATAAGCGTCAAAACGTACCTAGGGACGAAACTGAGCGAAGCGAGGGTGAGTTGCTTGTAATTCATAAAAAAAGAATCAATAAATACACTTCACAATTGGCGAAAATATAACATAACTTACAAAATTATTATCTTAAGTCAATTTACTTCTTTTCTGTTCTTTAGTATATTTATTAACATAAAGAAAAGGCTAGTATTTGAAAGCTAAGTAGTATTACTCAAGAGAATACCTTACCTTCGTTAGACGATTACGTAGAAGGTTTTACATAAAAAGTATTGTGAATACGAATTGCTTTTTCAACCAACTTCCTCAAAAAGGAGGAGGTTCTCAATTCGGCTGCATTTTTTTTATGTTTGTTACCTCAGAACTCCGTTATTTATTAATCGATTTGGACAATTTTTGTTTTTTTTTGAAAGTATACTTCCAGATTGGTCCCATTTAAATTTCAAAAAAAAAATACCACCCCTAAGGGTTAGGTATGTATAGTAAATGAAAACTACCAATCAGTTATTTTTTACTTTTTAGTGCTTTTGTTTGAAGTCGGTTTTTATTTTTTAGTTAAAAAGTTTTTATTACTCTAAGATTCAGTGTTCTTACATAAAAAAAGATTTTTTACTAAAGAAACCAGTAAAATATCTGGATTTCATACAAATGGATAGCAAACTTTTCTTAGAAACCAAACTTGAAAAACGCACGTACGCAACTTTAAATATTTTCTTTTATTTCCTAGTCCCCGTGGCGTCGCTTGCATAAATAAATGAAATTAGAATATTCTGCGTACTCAAATACCGCTGTAGTAGACGA